GGGATATAGTTCAGCAGCACAAGCGCCTGCCTGGCAAGTGCAAGGTCCTAAGTTTGATTCCCGGTACCAAATAAAAAGAAAAAGAAAAAAGAAAGTTTTGCTGGGTGTGGTGGCGCACGCTGGTAATTCCAGCACTTGGGAGGCTGAAGCAGGAGCATCCTTGTGAGTTCGAGGCCAGCCTGAACTGCATAGTGAGACCCTGTCTCAAAAAGACAAACAAACAAAAAACAAACAAACAAACAAACAAAAAACCCTACATTAGAAGCAATGGCAGTTTTATAGAAACAACCTATAGTAAAAACTTCAGGAGTGCTTTATCTAGCTAGAATTTAGGGTAGAGCAAGTTTTCAGAGTGATAACTGATACTGAGTTACTATGAAAGAGAACTTATTTATTTTTAATGGCACTGAGGAAGTAGATTCCATATGTTTTTGTCATAGATATAAACATCACCTGTTTTTCTAAAAGAAATATTAAAGATAGCTCAATGACTATGCCAAACTTAGTAGGTCTGGTTTTTTGTTTTTGTTTTTTTCTTGGAGACAGGGTCTCGCTATGTATTTCAGGTTGGCCTTGGACTCACTGGCTAGCCCAGGCTGGCCTTGAATTCATGGTGATCCCCTGCCTCAGCCTCCTAAGTGCTGGACTACAGGGATGCACCACCATGGCCAGCCTTATTATGCCTTTCAAGAGTGCATGTGTGAAATGTTGGTTTTGAGGTAAACCTTATAATTTAAAATTTAACATTTAAATTAAGTAGGTTAGTATTTTCAATATCACCTAAATATATTGATCCAATATAGAAAGCTAGATTAATGTTAGTAATGAAGATTCATAGTCCACCTTTTCAGGCTTTTCAGGTTAAGTGTTTCACTTTTATGCTTTTAACTTTACAGATGAATTCAAATCTAAACAAGATTTATTAATTAGGCAGTTTTCCCAAGTTGGAGAGCATCATACTAATCTAGCTGTGATGCTTGAGGCTTCATAATTTAAATCCTTTAAAATTATGTAATCTATATTCAGGTTTTTGGAGAAAGGCTTCAAAGAAATTTTGTTTGTTGCTGCAATAATACTATTTATATAAAGAATGAAAAACAACTTATCACAGGTTTGGGGCTGGGGATATAGCTCAGTGGCACAGCACCTGCCTGGCAAGCACAAGGTCTTGAGTTCAATTCCTAGTACAAAAAAAGAAAAGAAAGAAAGAAAAGAAATGAAAGGAAAAGTTTGTCTAATATTACTAGCTGTTAAAAGTAAATTTTTCATACCTAAGTTTCATAATCATAGGTCGATATGTTATATGTTAGTGTTTAGTTTTGAGGAGGAAAAGATAAATCATTACTGTAAGTTAATAAGTTTAGATGGCAAGGACATATAGAATATATACTGTGACTGAATTTACTTTTTTTTTTTTGGTGTTGGGAATCAAACTCAGGGCCCTGCAGTTGCTAGACAGGTGCTGTGCCACTGAGCTACATCCCCAGCCCAATTTCCTTTTTTTTTTTTTGGTACCAGGAATTGAACACAGGACCTTGCGGTTGCCAGGCAGGTGCTCATGCTGCTGAGTTATATCCCCGGCCCCCAATTTACATTTTTTAATGAATAGAATTACTTTCTAGTATTCTAATTGGTGTAACAGTATATTGAGGGAAACTGCCAATTTTCAGAAACTCACTACAGAGATCATGTGCTCTCCATCACTTTTTCTTTAGGTAAATATTCAAGTTCACAATGATTCTGCTTATAAGATAATAGTCTCAATTTACTTCTTATATGGGTCAAACTTTTGGTCCTGTCATAACTAAATGAGCTAGAGCTTGGGGCTACATATAGCAAAATGTGCAATAAAAAAACCACTACTGCCGGGCTACTTTAAAATTCAGGTTATTAAAGAGGATGTTGTTTTCTAAGCTGATAATTTAATGAAGTGGTTAACATACATATCAGAGATTGGATTAACTCCTTTCTTTGGGGGTTGTACCTCATATACAGTAAATGCCTTCAAATGTTAGCTGGGTAGACTGATGTTTTTTTCCTTTTGCTATTGCAAGTCCAGCTGATTTACTTTGAAGATAATATTTCTTTTTTTTTTCTTTTTTTTTTAGTCTTTTTGAGACAGGGTCTTGCTATGGAGTTCAGACTGGCCTTGAGCTCACTTTGTAGCCCAGGCTGGTCTTGAACTCACCAACGATCCTCCTGTCTCAGCTTCCCGAGTGCTGGGATTACAGGCGTGCACCACCATGTTCGGTGAAGATAATATTTCAGCACTTCAACTGTAGAAGAAAACTATATCATTTTTTATACAGCAGATAACAACCAAATTTACTTGTTATTCCTCATCACTGTGTTTTATATAACTACTGATCAGCAACAGATTTTTTTTTCCCCCCTGGCATTAGGGATTGACCCAGGGCCTTCACACTGAGCTACAGACCCAGCCCTATTTTATTATTTTTGTTAATTTTGAGGCAGAATCTTTATAAGTCACTAAGTTACCCCAGCTGGGCTCATATTTGCCATCTTCCTGCTTCAGCCTCCCAGAACACCACGATTATAGGTCTGCTTCACCACCTCTGGCTGCAACAGTTTTTATTTATTTTTTAAAATTTTTATCACCTACATACTTTACCAGGTGAATCCTGAGTGGGGGAAAAGAAGTGGGCAGGGAAGCTGCTGAGAGATGAGGAGAGAGCGAATTAGGAGTGTGACAGAGGTGGCAGAGTAAAGAAATAACGAAGACACCCAGCTGGCAGCAACTGGAGACCGACAAGGTATGGGATGAGGACAGCCAGGCCAGCATGGTTGGTGGTGCACATAAGCAGGAAGGAAAATTCACCAAAAGCCTTCCCTCTGGGAGAAGCGGAGAGTGCAGTGCAGAGTGGAAGGAGAATGAGTTCGGCTTTCCGTCTGTTGAGTAGAAGGTGCCCATGGGCACTGAAGTGGAAATGGCTCCATGGGAGATCTGAGAAAGATAGCATAGGCATGGGAACCAAATGGGTGCGTTCGTTAGACTGACTAGGGTAATACACAAGTGCGAGGAAAGGCCAGCTTGTGACACCCAAAGATATACCAACATTTCAGGGAGCAGGCAGAGGAGGAGAAATCCAACCCAGCTTTAGCTTGATACTAAAATTGAAACAATCTAGTGGGCCAGGCCTGGTGGTGCACCCCTGTAATCCCAGCACTCGGGAGGCTGAGGCAGGAGGATCACTTTGAGTACAAGGCCAGGCTGAAGGGCATAGCAAAACCCTGTTTCAAAAAGACAAAAAAAACAAAAAACAAAACCAACCTGGTGATATATTTCCCTTCCACAGTAAAGACTATTCTTACAATTGCTGGCCTTGACTATTGGACTTTTAGTGATCACCTAGAAGCCAGGGTTGCAGCTCAGCTCAGAGTACTTGCCCTGAGTTTGATCCCTGGCACTACAAAACAAAGCAAAACAAAACTAAGCAAAAAACTCAAAGCAAACAAAAGTCAACAACCACGAAACTTAAAACTAAACCAAAAATTCATTTGTCTACTGTATTTCTTCACTAGAAAATTAAATTCTATCTAGCACAATTATCAACTCAAGGATACGCAAAGGATTTAATTTCTGCTCTTGGAAGTCCTACAAGGAAACCTTCAAGTTTGAAGGTGACTGATGTGACCCAACTCAGGTCTCTTCTTGGATTAAACATTTCCAGTTCCTTCAATGGTTCCTTCTGTGACAATGTCTAGCCTTCTCTAATGGTCTTCTGGGCACACTGCAGCTTGTCCATAAACATAACCAACAATACTCTGACAGTATTCTAACTTGTGCGCAGAGTCTAACTGGCAATATTACTTTCCTCATTTGTTTGTTTGCTTGTTTGTTTGTCTTTTTGAAACAAGGTCTCACTGTGCAGTTCAGGTTGGCCTTGAGCTCACTTTGTAGCCCAGGCTGGTCTCAAACTCCAATGATCCTCCTGCCTCAGCCTCCTGAGTGCTGGGATTACAGGCGTGCACCACCATGCCTGGCTACTTTCCTTGTTTTTAAGACCTTTTTTCTGGTGGTACTGGGGCTGGGACCTACAGTATCATGTTAGGCAGATGGTCTACCAATGAGCTATATCCTTAGTCCTTTTGAAATAGCATTTCAGTTGTCCAGGTTGGCCCAGAATCTATGATTCTCCTGCCTCATCCTCCCAAGTGGCTGGGACATTCACAGGTTTAAGTCACCACATGCGGCATGAAGACATATTTTATTTTATTATTTTATTATTTCTTTTTGAGACAGCGTCTTACTACATAGTTCACTTTGACCTCGAACTCAAATTTACAGAGACTGTTCTGCCTAAATCTCCCCAGTGCTTGGATTACAGGCATGGGCCACCAAGACAGGCTGAAGTGCAACAGCTTTTAAACTTTCGAAAACTCTGGCTCCTAGACTCTGAGAACTGACTGTGAATGTCAGAGTCCAGGGCTCCACCTGACCCCATGCTGCCCCTTCAGATGACACCCTCACCAACCCTCTCTGCGCGTGTCTCACCTGGTCCCTCTGATGTCATGTGTTTTTAAGATTTCCACTTGGCTGTCTAATCAGCATTTTAAACTTCTAGTTTTCCTCTTTGTTTTTATGGTGCAGGAGAACCCATGACCTTGCACAAACTAGGCAAGCGCTGTGCCCCTGGGCCACGCACCTTGCCCCAACCCCTGGGTCTTTACCTGTTGCCTACCCTGGTCAGCTCTGTAAATCACAAACAGGTTATCATCACACATGGGGGCTGAGATTCTTCCCTCTCCCGCCTTCCCACGGCTCATCCCGTGGCGTCCTGCAGCCTGAATTTACCCTCCCCGACCGCCGTTCCCTCCCTTGGCCCATTCGGGTCAGGCAGCCTGCCCAACACGTGAGACCCTCCCCTCCCCGCCCTTGCCAACCTCCCCGGCAGGTCGATCCTCAGGCGTCCAGTCCTTTGTTCCCGCCTCCTTCCAAGCCGGTCCCCCACCCAACCCTCCCCTCGTGTTTTCTCTGTCACCTCGGTGTCAGCTCCCTGTCGCTCCCCGAGCCCTGTCTCAGCGCTTGGGCTCTTTGCGCGCCCGGGACCTGCCTGGTTCAGGAACACGGCGTGAGCCCGAACCAAAAAGCTTCAGGACCGTAGAGCGCTCCCTGCAAAAAGTGCCCCTAATACCACGACACCCCGAGCGGAGCCCGGAGCAAGCAGGACGAGGTAGCGAACTGAAATAAGTGCCCGAAAGCCTGGGCCGCACCAGCTGGGCGCAGTGTCAAGGGGCGGGGCTGGGACGGGCTCGGCGCGGGGAGGAGCGGGCCACAGACCCAGCGCACCGGTGCAGGCGCACGCGCAGGCGCAGGGAAGGCGAGGCGCTGGTTCCCACGGCAACCGATCAACAGGTCCTACAGCGAGTGAGTCACTGGGCCTACACACCCGCGCCAGTCCGAAGCCATGTGTACCGCTGAGGTGGACCGGCAGGTAGCCCAGAGATACCTGCTCAAGCGGCGGCTCGGGAAGGGGGTAAGCGGGGCGGACAGGGTCACCCGGACAGGGTCACCTGCAGGCGTGGGAGACCCTTCCAAAGTTTGGTCCCTCCGACGAGGGATGTGGACGAGGATGTCCCTCCGATGTGGACTCTCCTGGACCACATCCTGCCTCCTCCAGCACTGGAGGGGTGGCCTTGCTCCCGAGCTCCTCTGTGTCTCAGTGTCCCCGTGGAAACCGGGTGATGCCTAGGGACCTGGCTCCGGAAGAGAGATGACTGCCAGGGCCCCATGGTCTCAGGAGGAGTCGTCCTGATGCCCCAGGCCGCCTCTCCAGGTGCCTACAGGACACACCGGAAAGCTGCGCCTGCTCCAGCCCTGGCGGGGCATGGAGGGCAGGCAGATCTCAGCATGGCCCAGGAAGGTCTGGCGGGCATATGAGGTTGGGGTGGAACCGTGCATGACCTCATGCAAGTTCGTGATTTGAGTGTGAGCTTGTATGTGACGGTATGTGTTTGGTTGAGTGAATGTGTTCAGTGTCAACCGAGCGGAGGGAAGGAGAGGATTCTAGACAGTCAAATGGCAAGTCCAGAGGCCTTGTGTCAAACAAGGCCCTGCCTGGTTGTTGGATAAACCACACAGCTCTATGTGACCGGATGGGATAGAAGTGGGCCATGGTGAGGAAGTCGGGAGGGGTTTCTGAGAAACTTCAGAGATTCTAGCCTTTATTGTCATTGATCGTAGGAGCTGTAACAGTCATCGGTGCTCACCCTGACTGTTCTGTGGAGGAGTCACCATGGGGTGGGTGGGAGTGACAAGGGAGATTAGTGAAGACCATGGGGTGGTGATCCAGCAACAGATGCCGGTGGCCCAGACAACAGTGGAGGTAGCAGAGATGGTAGGAAGTGGTCAGATTCAGGATGACTCAATCCAACAGCATTTGCTACACAAGCTGGATGGGTGTGAGGAAAAAGGGGTTGAAAATGCCTAGGTGGCTGGAGGAGCAAAAGGCCATCCTGGGGACTTAACAGGCCTCCGGTCCTCCCCAGAAGACCCTACCTGTGACCTCATGTCTTCCAAGGGGCTTCCCTGGTGACTATAGCCCCTTGCTGGCAGCCATGCCCTTTGCAGCTCCAGAGCTCCAGGCCTCACCACACTCCTGACCCCCTCAACCCAGAGTGGGAAGGAGGAGCTTTTCTGTGGAGCAGCCTGGGTGGGCAGAGGACGGCTGGGCAGGACACTGGCCTTCTTTCACAGGCCTATGGCATTGTGTGGAAGGCAGTGGATCGGAGCACTGGTGAGGTCGTGGCCATCAAGAAAATCTTTGATGCCTTTAGGGATAAGACAGATGCCCAGGTAAGTGAGTAGGGAAGATGTGTGGGGAAGGCTGGGTGCCTGGGAGCTCAGATGTGACTAGGAGGCCCTGTCCCAGCAGGTCTAGTCTTTCTGGCTGAGTGTGTATTTGGGCGACAAGCATTAAACACCTTTGGTCATTTCTGTCTCTTCCAGAGAACATTCCGGGAAGTCATGCTGCTCCAGGTGAGTGGCCCAGACCATCCTGGCTGCTTCCCTTCTCCAGGTGCAGGTCTCTCCAGACCAGTGGAAAGCTGGGCCCCTGGACCCCCATAGTAAAACTCCTGGTCTTCCAGCAGCAACCTGTTTTCCCTAGGAGTTTGGAGACCATCCCAACATCATCCGCCTGCTTGATGTGATCCGGGCAGAGAACGATAGGGACATATACCTGGTGTTTGAATCTATGGGTAAGTGAGGCTGCATTTAGCTTCCTGCCCCACCTTTGCCCTGACTCCTGGTTCCCTCGGTGTGTCCCCTGGTGCTTGAGTCTGTGGTGGCTAGCGTCCTCACCTTGTGCCCTATTAAGAGACCACACAGCTGGCAAGTGTTGGCCTGCAGAGCCTGGCAGGAGCCACCTCGACCAAAGCTCTAAAAGGTTCATCTAAATGGTGAACCTTTTAGAGCTTTCAGTAATACAAACAGCCCGTTGCAGCGCACATGCCATAGGTTCGCAACCACTGACTGGACCATGCCTGCCCGGGGCTCCTGCTTTGTGTTTGTGTGCAGCTATATTTTCCTTTTCTACTCTTTTTATTAAATAAGGCAACTTGGTATAAGTATTAAAATAATTGGACCAACTTTTATAGTTGTATGGACAGTGAACAGAACAGAGAACCTTGCAGGTGGCATGGCAGGGGGTGTCCATGGTGGACTTTGAGGAGGTTGGGTTAAAAGTGGGACAGATCTGTCCACCTCCCACCCCCAGACTGACCTGTATGTCCCCTACTCCCAGACACTGACCTGAATGCCATCATCCAGAAGGGCAACCTGCTGGAAGACACCCACAAGCGCTACATCTTCTACCAGCTCCTGCAAGCCACCAAGTTCATCCACTCGGAGAATGTCATCCATCGGGACCAGAAGGTTGGGCCCTATACTGCATCTGCCTCCAGCCCCCAGCCGCCAGCATCAGGGTACATCCCTAGTCTGCTAGTCCTCAGCACGCCTCCTCTCTCCAGCCAGCTAATGTTCTCCTGGATGCCAACTGCTCAGTGAAGCTCTGTGACTTTGGTCTAGCCCGTTCCCTGAGCAACTTGCCGGAGGGACCCAAGGGCCAGGCCCTGACAGAGTATGTGGCCACACGCTGGTACCGAGCTCCGGAAGTGCTCCTGTCTTCATGCTGGTAACAGCCCCAACCATCCCTGTCTTCTTCCTGCAGGTCCCCCCACCCTGGACACATCCTTCTGTCCAGTTGAGTGTTCCCTGAGCCTGCCTCTGTCTCTTGCATCCTCCTCTCCCAGCACCCACACCTCAGCCTCTGAGCTGCCCCCTTGCCCACGCCCCGTCCTGCCAGGTATACCCCTGGAGTGGACATGTGGAGTCTCGGCTGTATCTTGGGAGAGATGCTTCGAGGACAGCCCTTGTTCCCGGGCTCATCTACACTGCACCAGCTGCAGCTGATCCTGGAAACCATCCCCGCCCCATCTGCAGAGGGTGAGCTCTTGGGGAGGCTGAGGTCAGAGAAGGCAGCTCCGGGGAGGGGAAACACTGCCTGACTGGCCGGGATGTCACAGGGAGGAAGGTGAGGATGGGGACAGGCAGGAGCCTGAGGAAGCCTGGGGAGAGTGAGTTCTGTGGATGGAGGCCTAGTGACCAGCTGCACAGGGGCTTTGAGAGAGGCAGGGCTGTCCAGGGGGACCATGACAGGCAAGCTGTGATGCAAAGGAGCCAGCTGGGTCAGGACAAAGCTCCAGCACTGCTGAGGGATGTGTGGAGCAGGGGAGAGGAATGTGGCTGTGCTGGAAGCTGAGGCAGCACAGAGCAGGGGCACTGGGGCACTGAGGGAAGAAGTAGTGGTGGAGAAGGCAAGGGGTGACACAGAACCCAGTGGTATCCTATTGTCTCCCCAAGTCCCTGCTTCCCCAGGTAGAGACGGCAAGGGGTTGATGCAGGAGACCAGTGCCAGCATCTTCATGTGAGTGCAGCTTGCGGGTGTACAGGTGCAGGAGCAGAAGCAACTCTGGCTGCTCATAGACTCACAGGGCGCTCATGCTGCAGTCAATGGTGCCAGAAGAGCTGGCTGGCCCCGGACCTCTCTGAGTGGCCCCCAGCCCCAGGCAGGCCTGGTCACGCCTCCTTCTGCCACCCTCCCCTCAGACCTCGTGGCTCTTGGCTCAGGCTACAGCGACTTGATTCTGCACCGCCTGGGGTCCGGGTGAGTGGGGCACTTAGGTGTAGGGGCCCATCACTTCAGCATGCTGGTCATGCTATAAATGAGGAGACTCTGGCCTTGGTAGAGCGGTGCCAGTTGGACAGGGGCTGTGGGAAAGTCCCCAAAGCCTGAGGTGGGGGCCAGAAAGGCAGGAGGAACTTCCTGACGTTGAGGAGGTAGGTCAGAAAGTTGAGACAGGGCTCTATCCACATTGCCTGCATGTCTGGTTTGGGAGATCCACTGAGACAAGAAAAGGGGATAGGCAGAAGATTGGAAGCCCAACCCAGGCCACAAATCTGGGGAGGGGGCATGGGTGAGGGGCCTGGAGAGGAGATGACAGGAGGCTGCTGCAGGCCACGACAGACACTGGACGCCCTGCTGCCGCCAGACACTCCCGCAGAGGCTCTGGATCTCCTCAGGCGACTCCTGGTGTTTGCCCCTGACAAGCGGCTCAGCGCAGCCCAGGCGCTGAAGCACCCCTACGTGCAGAGGTGAGGCTGCAGTGAGGGCAGGCTTAAAGTGCTAGGTGGGCTGGGAGGGCAAGAGGATCACTCTTCCTTCCATACTACACCTGCTTCTGGCCCTGCAGGTTCCACTGCCCTGACCAAGAATGGACAAGGAGTTCGGACATGCAGCTCCCAATGCACGAAGGAGACCAGCTGTCTGCCTCGGAATACCGAAGCTGCCTCTACAAGGTGCTCAGCCCTCGACCTTTCCCCTCATCTGACTTCCTCATACTGGAGGTTTCCTCCTACCTCATCCACCGCAACCCCCCTTCCACCTGCAGATGATCCTGGAGCGGAGGGACAACAGCCATGGGCCAAGAAAGGAAGGCCTGGGGGGCATCACCTCAGGGACAGAGCCCAGGGCCTCCTGCGCCCAGAGGCACCTGCTCAAGCCCCGAGTCAATCCCCAGCTCCCTACTGGGGCATCTGCCTGGAACCCAGGATCCAGGCCACAGAATAGCCCGGGTCAGGACCCAGGGCATGGTGTGTGAGCTTTGGTTGCCCCCACTCGGGTCATATCCCTGGCCCCTTCTGGGTAGAGCCACCAACCTTCCCAGATCAGACCTAACCAAGGGTTGTTACAGGTGTGTCTGTCCTAGAAGCTCCCAGCACAGCCAGGAACATCCCGAGGCAGGGCTCAGCCTCCTCGCTCCAACCTCAAGTCCCAGGCAGGAGGGACAGGGTTCCTGGGGTGGCCATGGAGCCTCCCTGGGCACCCTCTGGGGTGAGTTGAGGGATGGCAGGAATGGGAGGAGAACTCCTTCACCCTGCTGTCCCTTTCAGTGACCCTTGATATGCCCCTTCCCAGGTGAAGCCAAGTATGAAAGGCACGGCGCCTTCTCTGGCTATGCAGGCTGCCGCCCAGGTGGCCAACCATGTCCTGATCCGAGGCAACCCAGCCCAGGGCGTGCTCCGGGTGAGTCAGGCCCCCAGTGCCCATCCATGCCCCTCAGGACCCTCCTTCCCGCCACTCACCCACTCTGACAATGATCCTCACTCATGCACAGGTCCCTCCCAGGCTTCCCCAGGAAGCCCCAGAGCCCCGACCTGGCCGGAGAATGTTCAGCACCTCAGCTTCATGGGGGGCCCAGGGCGACGCCAGGGCTGCACTTGGGGGCTACTCCCAGGCCTATGGGACTGTGTACCACTCGGCACTGGGCCGCCTGCCCCTGCTCCCTGGACCCCATGGGTGAACTGCCTGTCCACCTCACACTGCCTGTTTTGACCTTCTCAGAGGAGCACAGAAGGTTCACATCCCAGCCCCAGTGACTTCAATAAAATCTGTGTCCCAGCCCAACTAGCTGCTTTCACCTACTCCCTTTTGAGGAGTTCCTTTCTGCAGGGCTTCCCACCTAGGCCATAGCATCCCCTAGCCTGGGAGCCCTTATCCCGTTCCCAGAGCCCACCTCTTCTGAGAACCTGCCACCCCCATCCTGCAGTCTCTACTCCGTGTCTACAATAGCACAGTGCAAAGCTGCATGGGTCTGGTCTGCTATCACCCATGGCTCTTTTCTACCTACTGCTGGCCTGCTGGGCACCTTAGGCCAGCTTCCTGTCCTTTGGCCACAAGTGCCCTAGTACCTGCTTTGTTTCTGAGCACCATCAGATCCCAGCCGGGGGGCTGCTGCAGGGTCCAGGGTTCAGGCTGCTCCAGATAGTCCTGTGGCCCAGGAACTTGTGGACAGACACATTGCCTGCCTAGGTGCAAGTGTCCATGTGACTGTGAGCCAGAGAGGAAAAGGGGAGTGAGGAGGGGGTAGCTCCCCAGCAACACTTGCCCCCCGCTCTCCCCATTGTCACTGTGCCCACCATGACTGGCTCCTGCTTTGTCCAAATCTTGGTAGTAGGAGGGTTAGGGACACCCTGCAGATGCCCTATGAGGCTGAAGGCTACTTTCTCTGGTTACCACCAGGCACAGGACCTGTGTGAGTTCAGGCCAGGGGCAGAGGCAAAGAGATCCAAGTGTACTGTGGGTGCTCTGCACTTATATCTAACCCTGCGCTGTGGCGGAATGTAGGGCAGCCACTCTCCCGGTGTCTGACTGGAGGAGCTCACAGTCAAAAGCCCCTGTTCACCTTGAGAAATGTCAAGGATTCGGTGTGGAGAGGCTGGAAGGTTGCACTGCAATAATGCTGGTGCTGTGCTTGCAAGAGAGGGCCAGAAAGCAGGCGGATGGGACCCTGGTTTTAACATGGGTCACTGAGGCAGTGAGGGGGCTGCTGAGGCATGAGTTTGTGTTTCAAGAGCCGGAGGCACAGCCCCAAGGTGGTGAGCAAGCAGAACAGACAAGGGTGTGGGAGTTAATGCCACAGACGGGTGGGCCTTTGAGGCCAGGGAAAAGGACTCAGGCTGGACAGGAGCTGCAAGATGAGGCTAAGAGACATCTGCTGGGTTTGGTGGCCAGGGGACCCTGGGTGAATACCCTTAGAGCACCAACACACAGGAGCTCAGAAGTGAAGTAGAGAGCGCCTAGAAGTGGAAAGTTTGTGTGGGGTTGGATGAATCAGGAGGGATGTGGAGGCAGGAAGGGTCTCGAGTGCACCCTCCAGAATTCATGGCTGTTCCAAAAGGGAAATTAGGGACCTAAGGTTCAAGACTGCAATATATAATTGGGTGTGTATGTGTGTGTGTTGGATTATTTTGTGCAGTGTTTGTCAATGTCAGAATGGGCAACATCATTAAGTGTCTCATTCAGCAAGATGGGAACGGTGCAGGCAGGAGGCTCAGAGGACTGGGCTATCAGCCTCTGGCCTCTCCATGGGGAGAATGCTCCTCTTCCTTCAAGGGTTTTCCCTTAGCACTGGGCCTGGAATCTCTGTGCTCTGACACCATATAACACACACTAATACAAGCTTGTTAGCAAGCACCAGGTCAAGAAATGCTCTAGTTCATCCATCTCCCAGGGAACCTGCCCACATGCCCAAAGTCCTTGCTGTCATGCCTACCTGGGAGGTGACTCTGGAACCTAGACAGCTGTCATGGGGTCAAAGTAGGGCCACTAAACACTACCAGCCCCCTTCTCAGCTGCTGGTGTCAGAACCGCTTCATTTCCTGGTCTCACTTCTCACATCTTTCCCTTTGGGGTTTATATTAATGATGATACAGTAACTATTTGAGCTAGGTGTGGTGTGCGCAACTATAATCCTAGCTACTTGGAAGACTGACGCAGGAGGTTCAGAGTTCCAGGTCAGCCTTGGCAAAGTAGTAGGACCCTGGGTCAAAATAAAATAATTAGAAATGGCCTCTTTCTGGGGTATGGCTTGGGACAGTGCACATGTGGGGGATACTTAATGAGGCTGGGGCCAAGGATGTCTGTCCAGATGTTTTATTGTGCTACAAAGCCTAGCACTCTCCTCCTGTGCCTTACAAGGTGTCACCCAGGGCTGTGCTGTAGGAGGGGGCACACTTGGTTAGGGCAGCTGCTGTGGGGTGGCAGGGCAGGTCCTCTGGGGTCCCTGTGTCCTTCCTTCCAAGAAGTCTGCCATAGCCAGTTTCCCTGTCACTCCAGGAGGAACATCCTTGGGGTCTGACCCCCCCCCCCACAAGTGCCTGCAGCCAGCCCGGCCTTCCCCACAGCAATGCAGGTGCCAGGATGCCACAGGGAGATGGGGTCCAAGCAGGGAAGTAAGCAAGTGCTGGAGAAGGAGGCAGAGGTGAGAGAAGAGTGGACTAGAAGAGTGGGGAGGAAGAGGGGAGGTATGAGCAGAGATGGCGCTATCAGCAGATAGACAGCAGCCACTGGATGGGTCTAGGAGGATTTAGGAGGTATGAACCCTGAGAAGAAAAACCCTGAGGAGACAAAAGGCAGGGAGTGAGATCACAAAATTGAGCCACAAGTGATGGAGACCCTCTGAAAGACAAGGGACTAAGGCACTCAGAAGGATCCCTGAGGTGAATAAAGGCCCCAAGGGGGCCTTAGGCCGAGAGGTGCAGGGAGCGCTGAGAAGGGTCCCCAGGAGTGAAGGGAGCTGTAGGAGGCAGGGACTGTGCCCCTGAAGAGGAGGGGCCAAGGGTAAAGCCCCCAGACTGCGTTGGCATGATGGCCTGGTGACCGCCACTCAGACACAGGGACATGCAGCTCCCTGCCTGCTGGGTGCTGCAGGTGCAGGCTGGCAGTGTGCAGTGTAGCGCCTGGTCTGGAGGGCCAGGACGCTCACTTCTTGCCTTTCAGTGTGCCTAGGATCTTGGGCATGAACTTCCCCACCTTGCTGTCCCTGGTGTCCTCCTCCACCAAATTGTCCCCTGCCCCTGGGCTGCCGGCCTCGTCCTTTTTGCAGAAGACCTCGAAGCGACTGTACACACGCTTCTCCTTGCGCATGCTTTCCATGCGGCGCAACAGCCGGTCACGCTCCTCTGCGCTGGCAGGCAGTGTGCGGCTCAGCCGGCCTTGCACCCCCAGATTGTCTGAGCGGAAGATGGCTGAGCACTTGTCCTTGTCAGACATATCTGGGGCCAGGCCTCCAGCAGCAGGAGGGTGGCCCAGCTCAGGGCTGCTGTGGGTTGGGTCGGGGCCTGGGGCAGGAACCCCACGGTGCTTCTGGCCATGGGCGCTGATCTGTTCCAGAATGGCCTTGGTGTCATCCCGCAGGTTGCTACTGTACAAGGCATTGGCTGTGGCCGAGGCTACGCGTGCCCTGGGGCCACGCTCATCTCCTGCAGCCTCTGTGCTGTCACCTCGTCCCAGAGACGGTCGCTGGGGACTCTCAGGCTGCCCATTCTCCTGCAGCACGGGGAAGCTGCCCTCGCCTTCCCCACGCCGCTCGCTCTTGGGGCTCAGCAGCTGCCTCAGGCGCAGGGAGCCCTTGCGCAGCACCTCCATGGGGCCGCCTGCCACCTCCTCCGTGGGTGTGGTCTTTGGAGACTCCACTGGCAGCGCCAGGGTAAGACTACCCCTGCGCTCAGGTACAGGGGGCCCTGGGCTGCTCCTACGCTCGGGCACAGGAGGCACAGGGCTGCCCCTGCGCTCTGGGTAGGGTGATGTGGGGCTCCCCTTCTGCTCAACAAATCCTGCAGTTGGGCTGCCTCTTCGATTGGGGAACCCAGGCGTAGGGCTCCCCTTCCGCTCTGGGTAGGCCAAAGTGGGGCTCCCTCTTGGCTCAGAATGAAGCACCTGGTGGGCTCCAGGCCCGTCTGGTGGGGGGCTGTCCCGCCCTTGTGGGGAGGAGGAACGGCCCTGCGCAGAAAGGAAGCGAGAGGGCAGGCGGTCCGCGCCACTCCGACCCAGTGTGTCGAGCAGCTGTGCGGCTGTGAGTGAGGCAGCGCCAGGCTGCCGCTCTGCCTCCTGGTGCAGCTGCTGAGCGAAGGAGTCACGCAGGTCGAGCAGGCAGCTCTCCAGGCTGCGGCGCTCGCCCCCTCCTGTGCCTGGTGCCGCCACCTCTTCCCGCAAGGTCTGGGACACCACGGCTTTGCTGTGGCTGGAGACAGTGACAGCACCCCCAGAGTCGCGTGCTGGCCCCTTGTACTTCTCCAGTAGTTCAGCTACTTTGGCTGAGGCAGTGGAGCGCACGGCCTCTCCACCGGGCCCCAGTGTCTCACTGACGGTCTGCTCCTTGTGCAGCAGCTGCACCTTCTCTGTGGTGGCCCCGGCAGCCCCACTCGTACCCTCGGCCGGTGCCTGAGATGCAAAGATGAGCGAGGATCGGAGCCTTGAGCTGCGCTGGATGAGTGGATTCAGGCGCGTGCGGAAGGAGTCCTGCTTGGCCAGGCCAGCCTCCTCCACACCCTCGCGCTCTGCACCATCTCCGCTTCCCGAGCCCGGCAGAGGGCCCTTGGTTGGGAAGGCAGTGGGTACACGGAAGGATGAGGGGAGCAAGTCTCCAGCGGGTGCTCGGCCCGGGGGAGCCAGCACATCGTCCTCATAGCCCTCGGCTTCCATAGGCATGGGTAGGCCCTCCTCGCCTGTGTCTTCGCCATGGCAGCCGCTCAGGTAGGAGGCAAGGCGCCAGTGCCGCAGCCCTGCACGCCCCTCGGCGCCCCCCTTGCGCTCGGGCTCTGTCTCCATGGCGGGGTCTGGGCCCTGCCTCATCACGGCCTGGCAGGGGAACCGCTGGCCCAGGTTTTGGCGCAGAGCACTGGCAGGTTCGAGGGCCCGCTGGCCTGGCCCAAAGGCAGGGTCCGAGCCATGGCGCACCTCACGAGATGCGCTGGACGGCACGTATTCCAGCCGCTGGTGCCCATCAGGGCCAAGCTCTGGAAACCGTGGTCCAGCACCCAGTGTGAAGTCATCATGGTCCGCGAAGCCTGGGCGGCCGGCGCGGATCTTCTCGAACAGGCCTTGCGGGCGCGCAGGGTTGAGCTGCGGGTCCCACTGGTAGTGCTGCTGGTAGAGCTGGTCGCGGTGGAAGTGACTGGTCTGGAAGCGAAAGTCGTCACCATGGCTGAGGAATGTCTGGCGGGATACCTGGCGTGCGGCCGCGAAGTTCTCCACAGCACCTGTGCCATCGGCTGCCGCGTAGCTGTGCCGCTTGAAGGCATCCATCTCCAGGTGCCGTGCCTGGAAGAAGCCCCGAGGGCCCGCGAGCTCTCCGCTGGGGCCGGCCTCTGCGTCCAACCGCCGCGACAGTGGCCGAAGCCCCATGTGCGGCTCCAGGATGCCCCCGGGCCCCCGAGGCATCTCCTCCCGGCGGAAGGCAGAGAGGAAGTGGCGGTCAGGGTCCACGAAGGAGGGGAAACCCAGGCCTTCTTCCCGGGGAGGTGGGAACAGCAAGTGCGCCCGCTTAGGGAATGAAAAGGGAGTAGGTGCCCCAATGCCAGGGACGCCCATCAGGGGCCCAGCACCTGAGTAAGGAGCCAGGGCGTAGGCGTCCATGCGGGCCAGTGCCCCTGCTGAGGGCACCAATGGCTCAGACTGTGCAAAGAGGATGCGGAACTCCTCATCGAAACTGGAGACCAGCTCTCCCTGGAACACGTGCGCCAGGCTGCGGTGGATCTTCTCGAAGGACCACATGAAGCTGCGGGTGGGTAGGGGCCAGAGTCAAGGTAAGGTAGGGAGGCGGAGCCCAAAGCCCAGGTGGGACAGGCAGGACTCCAGGTCTGTAAGGACCCGGCTCCACAGGCTGTGTTGGGGGCTACGGGGAAAGGACTTCTGGAGGAATGGTCTCATGGGGAGGGGCTGGGGCTGTGGGACACCCAGCTGGGCACACCTGTAGCTCCCACTCATCACCACAGCACAGTCGACTAGCAGGAACTTCTCCTTCACATGGCCTTTGAAAGATTTCCCGGTGCGGCAGTAGTAGGTGGGGCCGGCCACAGTTCGGACACGAAGGAACTGGGGAGGGAAGGGGGGTCAGGTCTTTGCTCAGGCCCTTTCCCCTCTTCCCAGCTGGGGGTCACTCACATCCACGTGGTGTAGGTTGACACGGCACTTGTCGGCCATGTCCAGGAAGTGCTGTGCGTTCATCTCATCTAGCAGGATGTAGACTGGGACACGGCGTGCAGCGGCCTCTAGCACTTCACTGAGCAGGTCCACATCAGTAAACATATCCATCACCACAGCCACCACCTGGGGGGATCGACAGGGGAGAGGGCAGATTCTTGCTGTCCCCATCACATTCTCCACCCTTACCCTCACACATCACTGGCCAACACTGTATAACATGGTTACTAACCCACCCCAGGGAA